GGGGGTCTGTGGGGAACCCAGGGGGTCACGCAGGGGGGTCTGTGGGGAACCCAGGGGGTCACGCAGGTCGTGTGGCCTGCAGACATGKCACAGGGGTGGTGATGGCTCTGGGAGGTGCTGTAGTAAATCCCAGCAGTCTCAGGAATTCCAGCATGAACCTTTGAGGGAGGCTTTGGAATGCAGGGAAGAGCCAGGGGATGGTTGTGGGAGCCCCATGGGTGTGTCTGTGATTTGGGAGGGGCGTGTGAAACCTGCTCCTTGGAGAGGTAACTGAGCCTGATGGCGGAATCCGGGAATGCCGGTGCTGGGTGTTCCCTGCTCCGCTCCAGGCTCCTGCTCCTGTGCTGGCTCTGGGAGCCACAGCACGGAGATGGCCCCAGGTGTGAGGCTAGACCTGAGCCAGTCCTTTGGGATGTCCTTTGGGATGTCCCTGCCCACTCTGGGACAGGTTGGGACAGGCTGGGACACCAGCTCAGGCTGGGCTCGGGGGAATGTGGGATCAAGGGGTGGATGAGGGGGTGACTGTGCCAGGGCTCCTGTGTCCCCAGATGGTGAACGTGTACCGGGAACACCAGCACTCCTGTTTCCTCTACCTGGGCAGCATCCTGGTGGATGAGTACGGCATGGAGGAGGGCTGCAGGCAGGGCCTGCTCGACATGCTGCAGGTGGGCCCACCCAGCCAAGTCATGGAATCACAGAGGCTGGAAAAGGCCTCTGAGCCCACCCAGTCCAATCCTCCCCCAGCACTGCCAAGGCCACCACTCACCCATGTCCCCAAGTGCCACATCCACACAGCTTTGAAATCCCTCCAGGGATGGGACTCCACCCCTGCCCTGGGCAGCTGTGCCAGGGCTGGACAGCCCTTTCTGGGAAGGAATTTTCTCTAATGTCTAATCTGTAGAACCTCATACTCGTTTGGCTGGGAGGGGACCCTAAAGCCCACCCAGTGCCACCCCCTGCCATGGGCAGGGACACCTTCCACTAGCCCAAGTTACTCCAAGCCCTGTCCAACCTGGCCTTGGACACTCCCAGGGATCCAGGGGCAGCCCCAGCCCATGCAAGGAAGGGGAGTTGGAGGAGCAATCCCAGGTATTTGCTGATGGATCCCTGTCCCTCCCAGGCTCTCTGCATCCCCACCTTCCAGCTCCTCGAGCAGCCCAACGGCCTCCAGAACCACCCGGACACTGTGGATGACCTGTTCCGCCTGGCAGCCAGGTACC